ATTGCAGGCGCCGTTGGCAGGTTCGGAGTGAGGCGTCCAAATTCAGGGCAGTCGCGCGGATGACGCGATCTTGGAGGCTTCCCGCAGCAAAAGTCGGCACGCACTGCCAACGAGTATTTTTGGCTTCATGCCGTTGTATCTCGTGCCGTAGGTCTCTGGGATGCGTAAATAACATCTCACGACGTCCTTGGACCTTCCGAGCTCGCGTGCAATGGCCCGGTTGGAGTATCCGGCCTTGCAGAAGGCCAAAATGGCGCCATTTTCAGCAGGAGAAAGTTGAGCGTCTCTACCCATCCTGTGGCATTGATATTGTTCGTTGTCGTAGTGTATTTGTGTGTAAAAGTGCTTACCAATCACGTGACAAAAGTCTGTTAGCTGTGCGTGGGGTGTTGCTGCTGCTTGGGGTCTGAATTGCAAGTGGCTTTATTTCCCTGGCGCGGTCAAAAATCGTTCTTGTTGCAGTCTACATCGCTCAACTCAACCAATTGACCTAAAATTCTATGTGATAACTCCACCAATCATGCTCGTTACACTGGTGCATTTTGTGGAGCAGAACTCGTGATTGGCTGGATTTTTCTCTTGAATAATAGGGTGGCTTTATCCACCTGGCGCGCACTGTAGGGGCTCCACAGGAAATTGGCAAGTTTGTGCCATGATATCCAAAAGGCCAAAGGACGTGGACCACCCTTGCGCTGGCCAAAGAGTCCGTCGCATTCGGTGTGGCAGCCCCTGCTTGAATGCATCCAAGCCCGAGCTCGTCTGTGCCCACAACGCTTGACCGTGACGGGGGCGGGGTTTCGGGGTTTCCGGGGAAACCCCGACATCGTCCGGGACACTCCAGCACTTTTGCCATCACAGTCCGGGACTGGACTCCGTTTTCCGTATGACCCTGCGTGCCAATGTTTGGACGAAGTTTATTTTTGCCCACACTTCATGACGGGATACATGGAATCGCGACATTCATGGAATGCATATACCCCCATTGTCGTCATCCCAATATTGTGGGACTTTTTTATTGCCTCGATGTCTCGACATGGCCCAGAGTGTGGACAAATCGGCACTAACTGCACTGACCACGTCGCTTTATACTTTTCTTGATAGTACTTGGCGATCATCCCATTTCAACTTGGTGCCGTATTCAGTGCGATCCATGTACACG